CCTGGACAAAGAAGGTGCACAGAGGCCCTGTCCTGACCCCACTCCTCCCCGGTGTCCACGTTCTTGCCCAGCCTCCTGACAAGTTCTGGAGTCCCCTTTGGTCCTGGAGGCCCTTTGGAAGGGGGAGGGAGAGGGGGCAGGCTCTGCAGCTTCTCCCAGGGCCGGGAACCTCCCCGCCCCCACCCAGGTTGCAGAAGCGCTGAAGCTGGGGTGCGAACCCCTGGGTGGGAGTAGTGGGGGCCTTCTGCTCCGGCTCCCGTGGGGTTCCGCTCTCCTGGCCACTAGGAGGACCACAGCACACCTGGCACTGCCCAGGGCCCGCCGTGGCCCAGACGTCCCCAGGCTGGGAGCTGCACTGGTGGGGGGCTTTGGGGCCCCTGGTGGAGGGTGTGGTCCCTGTCTGAAAGGGCCAGATGGGTAGAGCTGGAGAAACAGAAAGGCTGGCACAAGGACCCATCTCCTGTGACATCCTGGCGCCCTGGGCCTGGCAAGGAATTGGTTCAGCCTCCATCCGCCCTGGCTCGGGACATGCCTGAGTCCCAGCTCCTGGTCCCCTCCTGGACACAGTTTGGGAAAGTACTTGAGTGTTGGGTGGGTGGCACTGCCTCAGGCCTCTTCAGAGAGCTAGCCAGGCCCCTGCTGTTGGCTCTCACTGCCCCCAGTGCCCTGCCACCCATGGGAAACTCCAGGGCGTGACTCCCGTGGCACAGGGTGCCCAAGGCTGATAACCAGAATCACAGCTAAGGCTCTGTGAGTGCTTCCTGCGTACTGTCTCACGCGTATGCTAATGACCACCCCTCCCCTGAAGGAGATGTTATTTTATCACCATTGTAAGGCCCAGGAAACAGGCACAGAGATGAACTACTTGCCACCCTCCTACCTCTGGGACTCCTGTTGCAAAGTGGGGTCCTAGCCTCCTACCTTCTGCCAGGATGGGGACCTTGAGGGTCTCCTGGACTGGGGTGCACCTCCCTGCTGCTCCTCCGGGCAGAGCCTGACTCCCCCAGTGCCCAAGGCACCAGGGGCTCCAGAGACGGTCCCTTGAGGCTGTCCTGGCCCAGATGGGCCTCAACCAGCTCAGCCCAGGGACCAGGGCAGACCAGGGCCCTGACCTGGTGGGGCATCCCCACACCTGGGTGGTGGGCATGAGGGCGGTGTGTGTGGGCTCTAGCAAGAGCTTTCAGAGGCCGTTGGTCAGCAGGAGGGCCGGAGCCAGCCGGCCAGGGGTCAGGTCCTACAGGAAACCAGGCAGAAGAGCTACCTCCAGGGGTTGACACGAGGGTAAACCAGGTGATGCCAGGAGCGAGTTCAGCATAGCCCTGCCAGGGCGTCCACCTCTCCCCAGGCCACGTGGGGAGCGAAGCCCAGAACAGGGTGCACTGGGACCTGGGACCAGTCTCCCCACAAACTCCCACAGGCCTCTGGACCAGGAGGGGTTCCTGAGGAGTCCCCTCCTGGCAGGGTGGGGTCCAGGGGTGGGCGTGCGGGCTTCTCTCTATGCAGGACTCTTGCTGACCCTTACATCCCCCACAAGTGGGCAAGCCTACAGACGCACACTGCCCCTCTGTGGTTCAGGCCAGCCACTGTGTCCTCCCAGCTCTGGGGAGGTTCTGAGGCACCTTGCCCAGCCCACGTGACCAGCCAGCACTCAAGGCCCCTGGAACCTGTTCTGAGGCTGCACAGGAGGCCCAGGAGCCTGCTGCCCAGCTGGGAGGGGAGGCCTTGGGCCCCAGTTGGCTGTGGCAGGTGGCAGAGACAGGCAGGATGGGGGGCACTCTGGCCCCATGGGGGGGCACAGGCGATGCCTGCCCTGAGGTCCTGGAGCAGGAGAGACTGAGGGCAGGCAGAGGTCAGCAGAAGCTCTAGGCGCAGGGCTGGGACTGGGTTGCCCAAAGGTGGCCTGGCGCTCTGCTCACATGTGAGGCAACCTGGCAGCCTGGGAGCCCTGTCTGGCCCGAGAGGTCCCTGTCTGGACTGGGGGGCGGGAGGGGGATGTGGAACTGCCCACTGCGGTGCTCAGGACTCTCGTCCCTGTGTGAATGGCCAGGTGGGTAGAGCTTGAGCAGCAGATGGGGCTGCTGCCCCCTGAGAGGCTGACCATGACCCAGAGGAGAGTGGAGGGCCAACGTTGGTCTCCCCACTGCCCACTGGCACATCTCAGAGGTTCCCTGTGGGCTGGTCCCTCATGGGCTGGGTGTGCTCTGTCCCTGGGTGTCCCCATGGGTGCAGTGGGCTGTGGTGATGCAGGTGTGTGAGCCTGAGGAGGTGGGATGGTGTCTGGCCAGCAACATCAGGGACACTGCTGGCCTCGGGGAGTGGGGAGCAGAGAAGGCAGGCAGCTCAGTGCCCCGACAGGGGCTCAGGGACCCGCCTGAGGAGCACAGGCGGGTGTTGGCTCCAGGACTGGCTGCCACGGCTTCTTGAGCCCCACCTACCCTTTCTGAAGTAGGACCTGGACCCTCCTGTGGCCGGAGCCCCACATCCCTCACTATAGGTGAGCTGGCTGGCCCTGGGCAGCCCTGGACGTGGCTTACTTCTGAGGGGCCTGTCCTTGTCCCCGGTGCAGGGTCCCCCAGCCTTTGTCAGCAGCTGCTCACCTGCCAGCCCTCCCCGTTCTGGGCGGCCCTGCAGGTGCCCGTGCTCCGGTGGTTGGCAGTGCAGTGAGCTCTGTTTTCTGTCTCTCTAAACAGGTCTTCACACAACGAACTAGAAAAGCACAGGTAAGTGACCCCTTCTCCCCACCGCCAGTTTCTGCGGGGCTGTGCGCTCCCCACCGCTCCCTGTGCCCCGGGGTGGCTGACCGTGCTACCAGGCTGTGCCTTGTCTTGGGATGTGTCGTTCTTGAAGGAAGAGGCCGGGCTCTGTTCTCAGGCTCACCCTTGCTGGGAGGCCGGGGTGGGGGCCCAGGCCTGGGGGCTCAGCCTGGGTCCAGCACCAGGTTGGGGACAGAGACGTGGGGCAGGGTCCCTCGTGCTGTGGGGCAGTTAGGCCAGCTCCCTGGAGGAGGAGGTCCGTCTGCTTTGGGGCATTTAAGCCCGTTTGGGAGCAAGTCTTTAGCCCTTAAGATGCTGGCCTCCATCCAGTGGGTTCAGTCCTCTTGGTCTGGGCCCCCCCACCCTGGGACCGCCTGCCCCTGGGACCTCCTGCCCCTGGGACCTGCCTCCCAAGGAGCCTCCTGCCAGAGGCTTGTCTGCAGGGCAGGGGACAGGCAGCCAGTCCCAGGCCACGTGGGCCCAGGGCGGATCCCGGGAGCCCACCTCATGCCCACCCCCTGGCTGTAGGGCTGGGTCCACTGGGTCCTCCTGGAGGAGGAGCCTTGGTCGCTGAGAAGCAGGAAGGGCAGCAGGTCACCAAGGAGTCTCCTCGCTCCAGCCTGTCACCCCGGGCCCTGCACCTTCCGCTCTCGGGCATCCCTGCCCTGGCCGCCGGCGGGGCTGCAGGCCTCCCTCTGTCCACAGGGTCTCTGTGACCTTGGGCCTGCTCTGCAGTGGGGATGAGGCACTGGCAAGCTTGGCCCCTGCAGGCGGTGCCCTCTGGGCTGATCTCAAGGGGCTGTTGGGAGCTGTGGGTAGGCACAGAGGTCCCACAGGCAAGAGCCCTGATGCCAAGGACCAGGGATGACCCCAGGGACGCTGTGCACAAGCCGTCTCCTGACCTTTGCTCTCATCTGTGCAATGGGCCAGTTCTCTTCTCCCTTCTTGGGTTGGAGTGTGTGTAGGC